GGCATAAGGATTGCCGAAACACAATAAAGCAGCTGAGCCGCTTGCTTGAAAAAAAAAGAAGAGGGTGCGTCTTGTACGCGTGGAATTAGGGTACACAAAGGCTTTTTATTTTTATTTTAAATAAACTTTCATTCATCTGCATGAAGCCTTTCTCTTTCGAGCTATGGAAATTTTATAATAGTAGCCATTAACTCATTTTTTCATTACAGAGATTCAATCGCTTCCTCATCAAACGGATTTGCTTCAGATTAACCTGGGCGTTGCTGCTGTTACCTAAATGTTATATTTACAATTTGTATCGCAACACTATTTAGTACACTAATTTGAAATAACAAGGGAGGGTCACAAAGTCGAAGTGCCCGAACATTACAAAGCAGTAGCGTACCGGGGAGGGGGGGGGGGGCGCCCCCTCCCCTGCCCCCGAAGATAGGTAGCGAGTTTCTTGAAAGTTACATGAATTATAAAAATGCGCAAGTGACTTGTTTATGCTTGAAAATAATTATTATGAAGTTTGGCTTCAAATTTCTTTTGGGCGTGGCTAGCACATGGGCCCGCAAAACTTAGAAAGCATACCAAAAAAATTTTCAAAGGGCATGGACTTTTGTCCCTCACCCCTCTTCCCCCTTCCCCCCCACCCCCGAATGGAAATCATAGGTACGCCACTGCTACAAAATACATACAAAATGCATACAACGAGGATAAAACGCTGGCTCCAAATCTGCTTTCTGCACCTGCAGAGCATTATCGGGAAAAAATTAAGAGCATTTTTTAAGCAAAATAAAGGAATTATTGGCCGGAATAAAATCAATTGCTACAGCCTTTCCAGACAAATAAAAAATAAAAAGTATTGATTGTAAGTTTACATTCGCCGAAGTCTTCACTAACAGTGCCCGGTCTGTTCTAATCATTCCACACTTTCGTACTAATTTCATGCTAGTAATTATGAGACATAAATCATATCCGCGTAAAAAGCATTCTTCACCTCAATTTATATGAGATTTATTCTCTCGCTGCTAGGTCAAGGAGAAATTTGTTATTACAACGGAACATGACGTTCGCTGCATGATAAGCAAAACATCTAAGTTTTTATTGCTAGAAAAACCGATACCTACTGAAGTTTTCATTGAAATATTAGAATGTAAGAATGTTTTTGAAGTTTATACTATTAGTTTCGCTTCTGTAACCGCTCGTCTATTACGATACAGAAAGCCTCAAGTACCTCATGCAAGCTGTTTTTTTCAATCATTAGGACATGACGAGTCGACTGGATTATTGTAACTGCAAATCTACCAGTATTAGATTAATTGACCTAGTCAACACGCTGTATTCATAAAGTTTTATTAGATTGGAAACTAAATTTTGCAACTACTTCGATAGCTTTCTTCTTTTTCAACATGGCGCACCCAAATTCTGCCGTAATGTGGATTACAACGTAAGCTACAAAAGCAGCTGCTCTCCTGCCGAATTCTAACATCGCCTTGAGGATTACGGTAGGTATATGGTACAAAAGGAAAAACTACAAAATTTTAAGGATTTGACTGAAACTGAGCATAGGGGAGTTATTCAACATGCAGATCACGAAAACAATACTAAAATTGCATGGTAAGGGCTTTTTTGTAAGATTACTGTAGGTTTACCTTATGAGGCGCCTTAAACAAGGAAAGAGGAGTTAACTCAACTATCGAATGCGATATTCGTCTTTGGCATGTCAAATAACCCCACTATGTGAAGTCTCAGCGGATTTTAGGATTTCAGCTGCTTTGTTGTCCACACCACACTTGCGTAAAGCGTCTCGTTCAACTTTGTCAGAGTGCCATATCTCAACTTGTCTTTCAATTTTATTCATTTTCTATTGAGCCAAATAAGTCAACCTCTGGCAACGATCCACACACAATGATCTGGCCTGCAGATGGCTTAATTTTCACTTGTAACCCCAAAAATGAAAATGCCTGTATATTCCTCTAAGCCGTGATCAAGAATCAAACAGTTTGTGCGTAGTTTTAGCGCACATTGAATTCCTTTGCCGAAGTTTATCACATTCAACGAAAGAAAAGTTATGAAGGAAGTTGCAAAACTTAATTTCCAGCCTAATACTTAGGTATTATACCTACTAGTCATGTGCTTCCAGTGCTCGGATATTACCTGGCATTACGGTTTTTTCTTTAGTTTTATATTAAAAAAATGCCACCCATTAGCTTTCAAAACTGCACCGCATTGATGTCTAGTATTCATTATTACTGAAACATTCGGAACTTTGTGAGTTTTATCATTTCCAATCGCGGAGCTTGATATTTTCGATTTTTGGAAAAGTGAAATTTGCTTTTCAAAATCAGAATGCTGGGTAAATAACATAGCCCGTTTTCCCAATCTCGTCATGGTTTGATAACTTCAGCTGACTTGCACGAAAAGCAAAGAGATTTTCTTGCAGTTTAAATTCAGCAAATACAGAGATTTTCTTACAGTTTAAATCCTTTTCTTGTCCATCACGTCTTTTAGGGAAACAATCTACACATATGTAGAAATTTTCGTCTTGCTTGCGGAATTATACAAGTCACAAAAGAAATGAGATTGAAAAGAAGTGATAAAAATGGAAAAGAAAAGAAGCAGCGATGGACATCTCTTTTTGTATTTTTTGAACTTGCTGTGATTGAAAGACGCAGCGAAATACCACAATGAATTGCAAAATTAATTTTCTAGTCTTGTAGTGACTGAGGAAACAATTATGTTCTTCTGAGCGTTTGATATAAAGTTAAAAAAATACATTAATTGGCATAATGAATCGAAGTTTCTGGATTTAAAAATAGCCTGCTTGTGGTATAAATTGTTTTTATTCATATCTCTTGATTTTTATTTTGTAACCTGCAGAAAGACAACAATTGCTGAAGCTTATGAACCTTGGCCGTGTTGAACGATATCACTGCAAATATAAGCAAATAAGAAAAATAAAACAAAATGAGAAAGTAACAAAATAAAAATAAAAAAAGATGTCCAATTCCGCTTCATTCCTTCCACTAGACAGAAAAAGATAAGAGTACGGTCTTCCCCGGAAATCTTCAGTAGTGGGGTAAGATCATACGAGTAAGAAAATAATAATAAGGGAACTGTTCTTAGCCTTTGCCTAATCAGTTTTTTTTCGTCCTTAACCCTTATATGTGAACTAATCTCAAACTTGGGTAATTAAACCTCAAAGTTTAACACATTCGACTGAGATCATTGAATGATCAACCGAGGGTTGACCTCTATCCTATGATGCGTAAATTGCTCGCGACACGCGAGTATGTGTAAATGTTTGCGTAGTTTTTGGTTATGCATCATCGTGCTACCCCCTTTTGCAGGCATTCGAGATCGAGATACACTGCAATCGTTCCGCCCCTCAGCTAGTATATAATTTGGAATTTTATGTGTCCATGAACCAATTACCGTATATGCGTTTGGACTGATTTGATGTCATTGCGCATATTACTGGTTGTTTTTATTTTGTCTTCCGTGCTGGTCGTAGATAGGGTAAAAGATTTAGTCAAGCTATATGCCTAAATTCTGTATTAAGCTGTGAAATTTTGAGACAATTCGTATACCATTTTCTTTCACAATTTTTTTTCTAATCAGAATCTAATTCTATCTGTAAACAGTTTGCTTCCTGTCCTCTCCCAATGGCCCAGTAGAACTCCTAATAAATTTGTTAGGTATTGTATAACAGGGAGTGGAAAAGGGTAGTAGCGAATCGAAGAGAATTCCTCCGAAAATAAGCAAAAAAAATCTAAGGACGCCTGCACAATTTGTAGAGATGTTTAAACCATGTGTTCTTAATTGCCAATAAATTTTTACTTGTACAAAAATTCTTTTCCAAATATAGCCATAAAGCTAGTAATGCAACCCTCGCCCAAACTTTATTCCAGTGACCGTTTTAGATGAGTACACATTGCTCAAAAAATTTTCAAAAGTTTTTTTCTAACGAAGTCTTTGACAGTAGTATTTATGGGCGCAGGATGGGGTTCCACACTCTTTCGTCTTTTAAAACATTTTTTGAAAGCATGACTGCCCAGCATGGAATCTGAAAAAGCCATTTGTTGAAAAAAAAAAACATCATGCTCTTCGAATATTTTCTTATCGTATCCGGAAGAGAGCTATTTTCTATAACTAAAACCTCGTTTTTTTCAATGAAATTTTTCGAAAAGAGTAGGTTAAGAAAGCTTGAGAAGTTTTTACAATTTGTAGTAGATGTTGTAAATCAGGTATTATGTACATTTGCTTGTCTAAGTGGTCAACTTTGTCTCAAATTATATCGAAACTTTCTAAAGCGAGTTTTAGAAGTTTTCTTATCTGATAACTAGTAAGATATCCATTGTCAATTTCACGACCATTTCTAAAAACTACAGGCAAGAGCAGAGCCAAAATTATCAAAGATCACTGGGATAGAGATCTTTACTCTTTTTTGAAAAACCAGAAAACTACGCCCTCTAATTGCCCTGATATGTCCTTGTTCTGCAAACTGGGCTCAAAAGTTCATTTGTGGTCTCTTGTCTGTCACTTTTTATCCATCAGGTGCGCAAATATCGCTGGCGACCAGCTATATTAGAGACCATGCCGCAGTCGTGGCTCATAGTATAGTAGCACTATAGGCCACGGTGCTCCTAGCAAAATTGACGAGGGGGGGAACAAAATTTCTCCGCTGAAGGGTAGGCGTTGGCCGCAAAATTTCGAAAGTATTTCCGGAATTCATTTCTTTGAATCTTTTGCAGTTTTGTAAAATTGAAATTTATTTTAGCCGTTCGGAAGTAAGAATTTAAGTACACAATCTTATACCTCATTTTATCTCTCTATCTCAACGATTTTTAATGAATTCGGATGACCAAAAATAGACATTCGACCATGGAAAAGTCAGATCTGTATTCATCGTTATCTTCCTTCTGATTCATATTACCCTTCCCATAATAATTTAAGCAACTCGACAATCGACAAGCTATAAATAATTGTTATTTTCAGAAAAACCAAATTTTTAAATGACGACGTATATCTGGGTGAGTCGAGTCATTTTTTCACGAATTAAAGTTGAAAAATTTTTAGCAATAAAGATTCGATTCTGAAGTTTCTTTTGAACCTGTCTGACTGCAAGTAAGTTATACTCATACCGCAGCAGAAACTACAAAAATTCTTTAGTTTTCGAAAGTCCGTCAAATTAGAATATGAAAGCTAGCCAACAGTTCTACCACATATCTATGAATCAGCTTGAGAATCTTGTTTTTACACTTTGCGTAAACACTGAATTGCGAGTTAAACAACTATGAGTCATAGAATTTACGGCTCATAGTCACCACAATCAACAACAGTTATGTAGTTTGGATCAAATTGCATTATAAAGCTCATATCCTATTTTAGGTTCTGCTGCTAACTGTTGCAGCGCCGTCCGTTGCAGGTATGTTCAGTATGCTTCCCTTAAATTGCTCATAAATAAAATAAAATTCAATAAAAATGTCAGATTTCTAAAGTTATGGTTGGCTTCATGTCTGTAGCATAAGCTCCAGGCATTCTCAACTCATTTTTGTAAAATAGGCTAGAAGTAGAGCTAACTAACTAAGGAGAGAATTCCTCTAGTTAAAGAAAGCCATACAATCTTGTGAACTCATTCACAATAAAACAAGAAAGTTCGTATAAAATTGGAAACTAGGTAAAAAGAACCATATTTTTTGATTATTGTACATATTGTGCGGATTACGGTATGACCAACTGTGTTGGCGAAGCATTGCAATGCCGATGCGTCCGCAATTGCGTCCTCTCTGCGTACAACGATGCGCTTATGGTTTTATACTGTGCACATAACGTCAAATACCGTGCTAATTTCTATGAATTCTTTTACAACTGCTGGGTTCTTCATTTACGACTTGAGCACAGTAGTCTCATACGCTACCTCATATATATATTTTTGAAAAAAAAAACTTGAAATATTTTATTTTTTTTCTTTTTTCAACTTTTATACTCTGCCCGGAATGCATGGTTTCGTGATTTGGTTCTACCCCTCAGTTACCCATTCATTCAGTTTTGAATTCCCTATGTTTTCCTTTTCAGAATACCAAGACGAATTGATCCTTCCTGAGAGTCCATGTAACCTCGTGGACTGCGTTTCCGGCAGGCGATGCATCGTCGTCAGGGGAGAAGCACAGTGTGTCCCTGATAACAGTAAGGAATATACAGCTTCCAAAATTTTTCGACTAACCCTCTAACCCTCAAACTGAATGTGCTTTAAGTTCCTAGGACGCAAAATTTCCCCCCATTTAGATGGTGGTCCCAATGGACCTACTCCTAGCTGTGATACCGTTCGTTGCACTGCCACCACCACGTAAGCTCCCCATCCCTCTTTCTCCAATTTTTCGTTGTTTTTTCCAAATTTTCCCCATGTTGCACGGTTTCCTGCATTTCGACCTGATTCTAGTTGTGTTGTTCGCCGAAGGGATCCCCAATGTGTGGATGTGTGTCCATTGGAGGCGGTGTGTGTTCCTCAGGAAAGCAACGGCAGAAGTAAAAATTCGATTATTGAATTTTGTATGACAAAAGCTACCGCAGCACAGAAACTTAGTTAGTTTAAGATCGCGCAATGTCGCGGTCACACTGAAAAACTTCAGGACCAGTCACCATGCTACTTATTCTTAATCAATTAAGATGAAATAATTTATATAGTTTCATTTCTTGAATAATGACGTAGCTTTATGTCAAATCCATGCATCAGAGAGTATAGAATTTTGGACGCTTTACGAGAAAAATGGGCCAAAAATTGCTTTGAATCTTGAGCATATGAGCTTAGAGAACATGTTTCCCCGCTTTTGCTGCAAAGATTATTGATCCTCCTATAATATAACATCGAAAGCGGTTTGTGGGCGGCGTTTCGCCAGAAGTAGAACGCGCACGAAGTGAGGAGCCAGCTCGACCGCAGAGAATTTTGGGGCGTGGTCTCGCGGAGTGGCATTCGCAGCTGTACAGCCACACAGTGCTGGCGTTCTTTCTAAAGCTCAGCAACTCAAGGAGAAGGGGGTATCAAGCGCTTTTCCATTGTATGTAGCAAATTGTGCAATGGTGCTAATAATTCAGCCCAACACAGTTGCGCTTTTCTTGCTCGGCAGATACTGCTGTTCGTTGCCTTCCTGAATCGTTACAAAAACCATCATTCATGTCAACGTTCCCTATTTTTACCACTTTGATGGGAGCTGAAGCTTTGATCTGGCATACAGACAGTCAGCAGCCTCTTAGTTCTACACCTCTGCTTACAAAATCATTTCGTTTACAAAATTTAGCCAGATTTTTGCCGAGCTGTGCCATTGATACGTTTTTTCATGACAGTGACAAAGAAACACCCATTTTTGATGATTAAGTTTTAAAACGTTCTTAGGAATAACCTGTTTCTGATTCAAGAGTTAGAGCTTTTGATAAAACTTAACGCAAACAATCGCAACTAGATTCACGGTGCTCAGTTTCAAAACTTATCTTATTAGCAAAAATACATGAGCTTCTGCTTATCGGCCTCACAGATCACTTTTATAAGCGAATTACCTGCTCCCCATGGAAGTTTTTTGATATAATATAATACTAGATCGCATTACAGCCTTTTTTTTTTCAAAAAATCTTTGTTAGACTATATACATGTTTGATTTTAGTAGAGTTGAACGCACTTCGCTTGGTAGTGTATAATATTCTCCCAGATATTAGCGAAAATTTTGAGAATTTGGCGATGACTGCTGTTAAGTGATCCTTGAAATAGCGCCAATACTCGACCGTCGACCACAATGGATGCTGACTCATCGCGCTTGATCTTCGTAGTAAGCAAGGACGAGTCAGCCAATTTACATGTCTGGACCGTTGATCACGACAGGAGCTGACTCATCATAGTTGATCTTTGCAAACCGAGCCAGCCATGCATGCTCTGAACATTAACACAACAAAATGGTCATACTAGGGGTCAAAACGGCTGCCGAACACGGGGTGTATGTCAAGAGGCGCGATTTTTATTGCCAGATGGGCATCAAAAAGCGCATAGTAAGTGTTTTACAGCACTCTAAAAGTATTTAAATTTGGAAGGAGATATATTAGATAGCTGCATGAGTTCCTCAATCTTGCTGCCTTGCAATCAATTCAAAACAGCAATTTTGAAGGTCAAAAACCCATGAAAATGCAGTTAAGAACAAATTCGTGGATATTTCGGTCCATTTTCCAGCAAAAGCCCCCAAATTCAGCACACGGTAACCATAGACAGATAGTAAGCTAATGCTTTTCTTTTGATATTTTTTGAATGCTTGTGTAGCACTAAACCGAAGTTTTGAGTTGGTGACAGCCGGAGAAATCGCGCCTCTTGACCGTCTCCCCCGAACACGCTGGGAACTCTAATGTTGTTTGATAGAAGTGTTTTGATATAATATAATATAATACGCGTAAACTAGCTCAGCTTTGAAATGCAATTCTGCCACACAATAATTTTGCGATCAAAATTTTGTAACTTTAACTGAGCTGTGCAGTTCTTGAGCATTTCCATCAGGCACACTGCCATTAGATCGCACCACAGTTTTTTTGTCAAGAAATCTTTGTTAGACTATATACATGTTTGATTTTAGTAGAGTCAAATGCACTTCGCTTGGTATATAATAGGCTCCTAGATATTAAATTGTGAGAATTTGGCGATGACTGCTGTTAACTGATCCTTGGAATAGCACCAATACTCGACCGCCGACCACAATAGATGCTGACTCATCGCGCTTGATCTTCGTAGTAAGCGAGGACGGGTCAGCCAATTTACATGTCTAGACCGTTGATCACGCCAGGAGCTGACTCACCATAGTTGATCTTTGCAAACCGAGCCAGCCATGCATGCTCTGAACAATAACACAATAAGATGGTCATACTAGGGGTCAAAACAGCTGCCGAATTCGCTGGGATTGGTGCATTGCTCAGATCATGCCAGAGAATTGTAATTTATACAAGTGACCTTCACATTTTGAAAAGAATCAGTCAAAATGAGAGATACTACGATTCTCACTTTATCTTTTTCTATTCTGACCAAAATATCAAAGCAGCTGTTAAACGCGTTCAAGATTGAAGGCTTTTATGATAGAACAAGTTTTGGTCAAACTAACAAGCTAACAAAATTTTCAGGACACATCCTCAAAATAGAGAATACCTCCATTTGTTTTCATTGACTTCACTGAAAAATTCGATGCTTGGGTGGATTTATGGAAGAATTTGAGTCTTGTTCTACAAACAAATATGGCGAACAAGCACTGGTCTCTTTGAAAAGATGGTTGAGCGAGTTCTATGGAGGGACGTTTCAAAGGATATTTCCCTCAACAATCCGCTAGAGACTTAATGAGAAATGCCCATCTGAGAGAATTTTCTTGAACAGAATTTCAACTTTAAAGAAAAGCTGTGTACAGGCTCCTTCATTAAAAAGGAGCTGGAACACTTTTACAGATATATTTCGCGATTCAGCTTTTTCCTCTACCTAAAAATCTGACGATGAAAATTTTTTGAGAACTCCTATTCTTTCACAAACAATTGCTACACGCAAGTTCAGTCCATGTGGAAAAACACTCGGCAATTACTACGCAGAATTTTACAGAAGGCAATTTTTAGTCGATCTTCATATATCCCTGATTACATTAAAATTATTCTATTTCTGCTTTCAGAATTTTGCAAGCAAACTTTTGTCACGCTGGGAAGTTCACTTAAACGGTTTTCAGGATTGGCCACTTTTACTTCAAAAAATCATTCGTGGTTTTGAATGAAAATCGAACATTTGAAAAATTCTACTCTTGTTTTGAGAGATTGAGGCAGGCAAATTGTGGTCCCGCGGGTACCCGAGTGTTTTTAGGGGCGGTCCTACAGATTAAGATATTTGGCATTCTTTCTGCTCCGTCCATGAGATTCGAATACATTGGAAAAACTCTACTTCTGCCTCAAGAACATTGCCTCCTGCAAACTTTGGTCCCGCAGGTACCTGAATAGTTTGTAGGTCGGTCACTTTTACAAAAGATGTCCTCTGATAATTCTTCAAACAGATCGAAGACATTAGAAATTCCATTTTCTAATCCGAGCATAAAAATCGAATACATTGAAAAAACTCTACTTCTGCCTCAAGAACATTGCAAACTGTGGTCCCGCGGGTACCCGAGTAGTTTGTAGGGTCGGTCACTTTTACACAAAAGATCTCTCCTGATAATTCTTCAAATAGATCGAAGACATTAGAAAAATACGTTTTCTAATCCGAGCATAAAAATCGAAGACATTGGAGAAATTGTACCTCTGCGCCCAAAACTCTATCGCTTGCAAACTGTGGTCCCGCGGGTACCCGAGTAGTTTGTAGGGTCGGTCACTTTTACACAAAAGACTTCTCGCAATGAATTTTCCTGCAGATCGAAGATATTTAACATTCTATTTTTGCTCCGAAAAAAAATCGAAGACATTGGAAAAACTCTACTTCTGCCTCAAGAACATTGCCGCTTGCAAACTGTGGTCCCGCGGGTACCCGAGTAGTCTGTAGGGTCGGCCACTTTTACACAAAAGACTTCTCGCGATACTTTTTCTTACAGATCGGAGATATTTGACATTCTATTTTTGCTCCGAGCATGAAAATCGAAGACATTGGAAAAATTGTACTTCTGCGCCCAAAACTCTATCGCTTGCAAACTGTGGTCCCGCGGGTACCCGAGTAGTTTGTAGGGTCGGTCACTTTTACACAAAAGACTTCTCGCAATGAATTTTCCTGCAGATCGAAGATATTTAACATTCTATTTTTGCTCCGAGAAAAAATCGAAGACATTGGAAAAACTCTACTTCTGCCTCAAGAACATTGCCGCTTGCAAACTGTGGTCCCGCGGGTACCCGAGTAGTCTGTAGGGTCGGCCACTTTTACACAAAAGACTTCTCGCGATACTTTTTCTTACAGATCGGAGATATTTGACATTCTATTTTTGCTCCGAGCATGAAAATCGAAGACATTGGAAAAATTGTACTTCTGCGCCCAAAACTCTATCGCTTGCAAACTGTGGTCCCGCGGGTACCCGAGTACTTTGTAGGGTCGGTCACTTTTACACAAAAGACTTCTCGCAATGAATTTTTTTACAGATCGTAGACATTAGAAAATCCATTTTCTAATCCGAGCATAAAAATCGAAAACCTTGGAAAAACTCTACTTCTGC